GGAAAGTCTGCCAAGGGCCCTGGGGACTCAGCGGGACAAGACCCCGACTGGGGAAACTCTGGCCCTACTCCGTCCCCAGCCCCGAAGCGACTCTGGCTGCTCTCAGGAAAGAGAGCACTCAGCCTCAGATGCGGTGAGTTCATGAGCAAGGCATCTGGCACTGCCAGCCAGGAGGACCATGAGATACGCAGAGGATGATGGGGGACACAGGCCTTGTCTTTGCTGTTAGGGTGCGATTTCAGGCACCAAAAGGAGGAAGATAACACCTAGTTGCAGCCAGGCCCAAATACCAGCTCCATCTGATCCCTGGTGTCTGGGACCCCCAGTAGGGGGTAGTGATGGCTCCAGGGTTAAAGGCCAAGCCTAATTCAGCCTAGAAACTACCTCTGGTCACACAGAGCCCTCAGCTGACACAGGCCAACCATGAGCCTCTTGGGACAGATGTTTCTTTCTTGTGTTCAGGCCTTGAGGACACCAAGGGCTATTTGCCACCCACTGACCCAAGCCTAGCCCAGGGGTCCTGGCTTCCGATTGGACTCTGCCGCACTCATGGGCACTCCACTTTCCTTCTCGGGCCTCAGTTCTCTTAACCTCCTTGCCCTGCTTCCCAAGATTGCTGGGATGGAAAACTGTAATGTTCAGTGCTCTCAGCCATGTCACTGCCCCTTGACAGAAGAGGGTGAGGATGGGGTAGCTGTGGAGGCCGAGGGGCCCAGCCAGGACCAGAGCAGTGGGTGAGCTCCTGGCCACTCCCGTCTCCAGCCATGGCTCCCTCTTCCTGGCCATGGCTGCCCTAGAATGATCATCACAGTGGACTTCTCCTCAGCTGCCGTCTGCGAGTGCCATGAGTCAAAGTTCCTAGAGAACACTGAGCTCAGGGAAGCACTAAACCACAGGATGACGGCACTCCCTGCCAACAGCACCACCCCGCTCAGATCCTGGGTGAGAAGGGCTTTTGTCTGCCCACCCTGGACCATGTGAGAAACACAGAAAGCCAGGTGTGTCGGCTGAGTGGGACATGGCAGCCAGTGTCTCATGACGATAGGCGGCTGTGGCCCTGGGGAAGGGCTGGAGCTGGCCAGGACACAGCTCAGGGCTTAAGATCTCAAAGGCCAAAGCCCAAGAATGACTTGAATAGGATCATGGGATAGAGCTCTGGAGACAGTGCAAGGGGCATTCATAACCATACAATATGGGGTTAAAAAAAAGAAAAAAGAAAAAGAAAAACAGGCAGAGAAAGATTTCTGGAGGCTCAGGACAGATTTCTGGACCAAGGGGCTCAGGACAGAGGAAAGGGGACAGCAGTCCTAGGGCCTCAGCCAGGCCCACTATCCCAGCTGAGGAGCACACGGAACGAGGTCTTCAGGGGCACGGTCCCCACAAACCATGACAACGGTTCAGGAAAAGGGCCCCTTGCTGGGCTCAGTTTCCCCATCTGTACAATGGAGGCAGCAGACTGGCCACTGTTACTCTCATAGTTAAAACATTTACTTGCCTCACTGTGGGCTTTGGTGTAAATCGGATTTACACCAGCCTGACTGTGAAGGAGAGACTTTTAAGTGCTTATTGTCAAAGCAAAAGTGGGGAAACTGTTCCTCAAGGGGGTGTCTCAGGAACTGAGCTGGAGAAGAAAGGACATCCCAGGGGGAGAGACCAAAAAGGAAAGTCTGGGGGCTTCTAGGAAACAGCTAAAGGTCCAGCTTGGCAGGATCACAGATGGCAGGAGGGCCACAGTGTGGGGTACCATGGTCAGCCAGAGAAGGGGCTTCGATGCCAGGCTGAGGGGCCCAGACTTGCTCCGGGTAGTGGCAGAAACCTTTGAGGGCTCCAGGGTAAAGTTACTGGTGCAAGTCTGGGTCTGTATGGGATGGGAGAGACTGGCTAGACTAGGAGGCCAGGTCTAAACAGGGGTGACAAGAAGCTGGGGGTCTCGGCCTGGGGGACCTTTATGCCCCCATAAGCACTGAGGACTGAGAACCAGGAGCAGGACCCAAATCAGGTCTACCACCCACCTAGGGGCTGGTGAAGTGTGGGCAGCTGCGGGGAGGAGAGACTGTCCAGACCACTGGCCTTTCCGAACCTCCAGCAGGGAGCTCAGAAGGGTGGGGAGAGGGGAGGAAGAGGAGGAGAGTCAGGAATGCAGGACCGCTGATCGCTCCTTCCCGCTGGAGGGGAGACAGGGAGCCTCGGAGCCTCCCACACGTCGGCCCACATTGTCACTTGAGAGAGAGAGAGAGATGGACAGTGGGTGAATGCTACTACGGATTAAAGGAGATAAGCACAGAAACGGTTGGCACTGAGCCCAATCCTAAACGTTTTATCCAAAGAGCAAAAACAGCTTACTCTGTACCTGGCACCATTCCAGGGCTTTCGTGGGTACTTCCCTACGCTGGACCCTCCTCATTGTCACTATTCCCAGGTGAGGAAACTCACACAAGAGAGGCAGAGGAAGTTGTCTAAGGGCCTTGTGTCTGCATGAGCTGGGTGGCAGGAGCCCCAAGCCTGGGGGAGGCCTTGAATACCAGGTCCAGGCATTGACAGCTGATCTGGGGTAGACAGGGTCCCCTGGCCCAGGGTCACAGGCTCTCCCTCCACACCCTCTTCCTGCAGGGAAGCCCTACTCGCCTGAAGCCAAGATGTCCAGCAAGCGGGCCAAGGCCAAGACCACCAAGAAGCGGCCACAGCGGGCCACATCCAATGTCTTCGCGATGTTTGACCAGTCCCAGATCCAGGAGTTTAAGGAGGCCTTCAACATGATAGACCAGAACCGAGACGGCTTCATTGACAAGGAGGACTTGCATGACATGCTGGCCTCACTGGGTGAGCAGGGACAGCGGTGTGTGGGGTCTAAGTGGGCCCGGGAAAGGCTGCAGCTGGAGCAGGCTGTGGGGCTGCACGTCACTTAGGGGGCACTTCCTGTGCAGTGACGCATGGGACCCACCCTGCACAGTAGGTGCCATTACTTTCTCCATTTAACAGATAGGGAAACTGAGGCGCGGAGCAGTTTGGTGCTGGATGTGACTGCTTCAGGCAGATGTGTGGATTGGGCTGTCCGGTACCATGTCATTCAAAGGCAGTAATCAGCAACTAAGAAAGTTTGACTGCACAGACTTTCCATTGTACAGACAGGGAAACAGACCTAGAGAGAAAGCCAGAGCACCTCCCCTCCTTCACAGGTCACCCATGCCAGGCTCTCAGAGCTTCTCTGACTCCAGTGACTTCTCCGAATCAGAATCTTAGGGCTGAAAGGCTCAGGAATCTAGTACAGTTCACTACTGCTCAGATAGGGAAACTGAGGCCCAGAGGCCAGGCCTCCAAATCCCACCACCCCAGCTTATGGCCCTGCCCTCACAGCCATCCCCATGTGCTGGCCAGACAACCCCTGTCATGCCCAGTTCCTGGCACCCCTTTCACCCAGGTGGAGCATCTGAGCCAGACATGGGCTGGGGAAGAGGGGCAGCCCCTGGCAGCAGAGGAGGCAGCCTGTGGTGATCAAGCTCTAGGCACTGGGGCCAGACAGGCCTGAGTCAGTCCCTGGCACTGCCCCTCCTAGCTGGGCAGCCCCACTCGGCGCCCATTTCCCTTCCTGTGCAATGGTGATCATGGTCCTCGTGTGTGCCCCCAGGGTGTCTGGCAGAAGAGCTGAAATCAGACACTGCCCCCACCTTGGGCACCAAACTGAGACCTGGTGAGGGGAGGGGCTGTGGGTCCTGACATCACAGCTCCTTCTGGGCCTCAGCAGCGTAAGTGAGGTTCAGAGGAGATGAGCACAAAGACTCCTTCCCATTTATGAGTTAGGACCCTTCACCCAGGACTCTAAACCCCAGAAACGTGATGACAGCCCTGGGCATCTATCCAGAAAAACCCGCACTCTTGTTTGTAGCTCCTGTCAGTGGGTCTACTGATCAGTCACGGCCTTCTGGTTGAGAACGTCACCCTCAGGTCAAAAAGTGAGAACAGCAAATACTAAAATAATAACAAGAAGCAGCTCTGCAGGTATTAAATTTTAAATCTTTGAGATCTTAAATCTCGAAACAATCCTATTGGGTAGATGTGATTATCATTCCCACTTTACAGCAAAGGAAACAGGCTCTGAGAGGTTAAGTAATTTGCCCAAGGTCACACAGCTACTAAGTGGGACAGCTGGGATTTGAACCCAGCCGTTGATTGAGTCCACAGGGCTGTGATGATCCTTATATGCGTCTTACAACCATTGCCTTCTTCATCTTCATAATCCTTTTGAGGCGGGAGGAAGGAATTGATGCATAGAGCTGGGATTCAAACCCCGGCCTGTGTGACACCAAAGCTCACTGATTTAACCACTTTCAAAACTGCCTCGAATCCAGGGCTGCCTGGGTTCAAATGCCGGCTCCACTCCTTACTCACTAAGTGACCTTAGACAAGTTGCCTCACTGCCGTGCATCAGGTTCCACATCTGTGAAGCCAGGGTAAGAATGCTGACCTCACAGGGTGTTGTAAGTTAAATGCAATAAGGCAGGGGAACACCAGACACAATGAGCAGTCAGCAAATGGTGGCTCTTACGCTTGAGAGAGCACTACGATCTCAGATACCCAGGAGGAAACTGGTCAGGGCAGATGGGAGAGCTAGTGGGAGGGAGCAGACAGACAGCTGGCCACCCAGCAAGATGCTCGACCGTTTGACTGTTTACATAACTTCCTATCTCTTGTCTGAGAGGTTCTCACACCAGCCTATGAAGGGAGGGGAAGACAGGGGATGAGGGATGACAACAGGCACGAATGCCTCGCCCACTACAGGAAAGAACCCCACGGATGAGTACCTGGAGGGCATGATGAGCGAGGCCCCGGGGCCCATCAACTTCACCATGTTCCTGACCATGTTTGGGGAGAAGCTGAATGGCACGGACCCTGAGGACGTGATCCGCAACGCCTTCGCCTGCTTTGATGAAGAGGCCTCAGGTCAGCAGCCTCCTGGAGGTCTGGACAGGGCCAGCACTAAGCACCCTACTTAAGGCGTCCCCATGTATACAAGTGGGGCCAGGCCCGGGACTCCAGGGCCTCTGCCCCCATCAGCCAGAACAAATCACCCATCTGCCGGTGACTGGTGCCAGAACTGTGAAAGATGCTGCTTCCTTGTTCTCTCCCCCAAGTGCTAGACCCAAGCAGTCCACATCCACCAAGGCCTCCCACTTCTTGAGTTTATCTGTTGGTCCAACATATTCTGCCTCTGCTTTAGACCTTTCCAGAAGTCAAATCGTTTCAGGCCCTTAAGGCCAACAAAGTACAGAAACTAGCCCCCATCCTCAGATCTTCCAAATGACTTCTGTCCCATAACTAGTTTTTCCCAGGCACAGGCCAGTGATGCTGGCAGTAATTAAGTAGTTTCTCGGGGGCCACAGGCCTAAGTACGCTCAGAACATTTTCCTGACAACCTTCACAGTCCCCTACCAGATTGGCAATATTTTCATCCCTGTTTTCCAGTTCAAATAGGCAGAGAGGGTAAGTAATTCGCCCAAAGTTACAAAGCTAGGAAGAAGTAGGATCGGCATTCAAATCGGCCCTAGAACTCTGGGGTTCATGCTTTTATTAAAGCAGGACACATCCAGCCCCCCCTCCCACACACACACACACACACACACACACACACACAGCCCCAAGCTCCCCACAGAAACACCTCACAGACAGTCCCATACAGAACTCTTCCTTCTGGGGCCCTGGCGAGCTCAGACTGACCGGAGGCTAGGGCTGTGTCCTTTCCTGGCTCCCTCACCCGCCACAAGGTCTTCAAGAACAGGTGGGGGGCTGAGGGATGAGGAATGTTGGCCTGTCCTGGCCCAGTCCAGCCCATCTCACAGACCTTGGCCCCGCCCCCAGGTTTTATCCACGAGGACCATCTTCGGGAGCTGCTCACCACCATGGGCGACCGCTTCACAGACGAGGAAGTGGACGAGATGTACCGTGAGGCACCCATTGATAAGAAAGGCAACTTCAACTACGTGGAGTTCACCCGCATCCTCAAACATGGTGCCAAGGACAAAGACGACTAGCTCCACCCCCTGATCCCCCCAAGCCCAAGCCCCTGTCCCAGTCACCTGCTCCCCACACACGCTGTCTGTACCAGCTCTGTGCCCACGGGACGTTCTAAGGGGACTGTCCCTCTGAGGGGTTAGGGGCTCAGCTCCCAGTGGAAGAAATGGGCCAAGAGAGCACAGTGCCAGGCAAGGGTCACACAGCCAACGTGAGGCAGGTGTGTCCACTGTGACCCTCCAAGAAAGGATCACTTAGGGGGCTGGGCCTGAAGGCACCCAGGGAAGGCCCCACGAAAGCCCAGGCCACAGCTATTGCCTGCCCATCCCAGGGCTGTCCCCACAGGAAGGGCCCTGTGTTCTGCCTTGGGACAGCACTTCACGTGCACCCCATGCAGGGCATGAAAGCCCTTTCCCAACCACTGCCACAAGCACAAGAACCTCACCAGGGCCCCTTCTCAGAGGACAGGATGCCAGACCCCTCCCCTCCAGAAGATGCATGTAGGCTGGAGCTTGTCTCAGGGGAGGCCGAGTGTCTAATAGAAGACTGAGCACTGCTTTGGGTCTGCGTGTCTGTGGTTGGTGAAATAAGGGCTCCCCTAAGCCTCAAATACCCTCCCACCCTCTCCTCCATCCCTAGTGGCTGCCTGGTCCTCTTTCCCCTTCCAGGGTTCGGCCGAGACCAGTCCAGCAGTAAGGAGTGGACAGAGGTGCTGAAGGAGAGGGCAGTGGGGAGGACCCATGGGAATTACCACAGCAAATTCTGGTGGGGGGTTCTGGGCCTCTACAGGGGCAGGGGTCGAGGTTACACAGCCTTCAGGACTAGAGCCTGGATCTCCAGGGTCATGTCGGTGCTCCTGGAGAAAGGCAGGCTTTGGGAACAGTGGGAAGGGCATGTCCCAGTAGGTCAGGAGTGGAGGTAGGAATGAACCAATTTAACAGACTGCTGAGGTCAGCTCCCAGCAGCCCCAGGTGCTCTGGGCTGTGTCATCTACAGCTGGACGGTCAACTCGGCGACATGATCAGCAGTGAAGCGGGCCACAGCTTTTTACATTCCATGTGCACACAAGGTGGGCAGAGCTGGGGTCCCTGTTAATTTGAATGATGGGGACACTGACAACAGTGCCTGGCGCATTAGAGGAACAGAAATATTGGTTGAACAGAGAGCCAAGAGGGGCAGGGACTGCGTGAGGTCACCCAGTGTGTGTACAGCAGAGGAAGGGCGGGAGACCCTCCATGGGGCTCCGGCCAGGACTGGACACATTCTGTCTAATCCCAGGAAAGGTCAGGGAGCAGGTGCTGGACCCAGCTTGGTCCTGCTGCCTTCTCAAGGTTACCCAGAGCCAGTCAGCAACAGCACACAGCAAAGGTCTAAGGTCAGCACCAAGGAAGTGCTAATCACTAAGGGGACCCTGCACCGGCCCAGGAGGCCCTAACCTCCCACAGGCCTCTGCCCCTACCTCAGCGACAGGCCCCTCCCAGCCAGGCCGAGGTCAGAGCCCCCTGAAACTCCTCTTGCTCCATTAGTTATTGATCTCAACTCCAGATAGAGCTGGCTCCAAACAAGGTCCAATCTGGCCCCAAATACTATCCTAGACTCAGTCCGGACCATACCTTTGACCCTGGCCCTAGACTATGGGCCCTGAGCAACCCTCAGCTCAACCCAGCGCTGAGCCTGGTAACCCACTCACTGCAGCCAGCCCTGAGGGAAGCCCAGAGCACTGGCCACGTATATCCAACACCAGGGTCACTGTGGCACCAAAGGCCTTCATGGAAGAAGGCAGGGACATGGTTAGGAACGTTGGTGGAGGGATAAACAAACTGATCAATGAAATCGAGAATCCAAAACACTCGCACATTTGTGAACTTGTTCTATGACAAAGATGTTAGATCAGCGGGGAAAGGAGGAACTCAATAAATGGAGGTGACACGGAAGGGGCTAAAACAAAAAATATCTCTCCATGCCAAGTAACGGTGAGGGAGGGAATGGGGAGCACCCAGAATTCTCACACACTGCAGGGGGTGGGGTGTAAACAGGTACAACCACTTTGGAAAACTTTGGCAGTATCTGCTAAAGCTGAACAGACATCTACCCCAGGACTCAGCAATTCCTCTCCTAGGGTATGTACATACCCAACAGGAATGTGGACGCAAGTTCACCAAAAGACAAGTGCCAAGATGCTCCCAGCAGTGCCACCGTAATAGTCCCATCCTGGAAACAACCCGATCTGCCCACCAACAGAGTAGACGAAGAAACAACAACGAACCACAGCTCCATGCATGAACCTCAGCTCCATGCATCGACGCGGATCGATCTCACAAACAGGTCAAGCAAACTGCAGACACGAGGACACACTTGTATCAGTCAGGATTCGATTAGGGGACAGAAATCACACTGGTCATTTCAACAGATTATGTAATATAAATAATTGCTAATGAGGTATAAAGTTTTAATTAACTCCAAGGGTAAAAAAGAGAACACAAGCAATTTGAAAATATGAGTGGAAGTATAAGAAACGAGAAAATCTGAAGAATGACTCACGTGAAGAAAGTGAAAATAAAATATTTGCAAATCATGTATCTGATGAGACATATATAAATAACTCTCACAAACTCTAAAAAGAGAAATAACCCAATTTAAAAATAGGCAAAAAATATGAATAGACATTTCTCCAAAGAAGATACACAAACAGCCAATAATCAAAGATGCTCAACATCATTTGACATTGAGAAACGGATGGCAATGATAACGAGCGTTGGAGAGGAAGTGGGAAATTAGAACCCTCATACACTGTTGGAGGAAATGCAAAATGGTGCAGCTGTTTTGGAAAATAGTCTGACGGTCCCTCAAGATGTGAAACATAGAGTTCCCACATGTCCCAGCAATTCTACTCCTAGGTATGTACCCAAGAAAATGAAGATACACATCCACACGAAAACTTGTAAAACTATAAATGTTCATAGCAGCATTCAAAATAGCCAAAAAATAGAAGCAACCAGATGTCCATCAGCTGATGAGTGGATAAGTGAATATGGCAGATCCAGGCACTGGAATATTATTCAGCAGCAAAAAGAATGAAGTACTGATTCATCCTAGGACACAGATACACCTCGAAAACATCACGCTGTGTGAAAGAAGTCCGTAACAAAAGACCATATATTGTATGATTCTATTTATATGAAATATCCAAAATAGGCTAATCTATAAAGAATAAGGTAGATGAATGTTGGCCTACAGCTGAAGTAGGGAGGGTGCAGATGGCGAGTGAAATTAGATAATGCTGATGGCTGCGCAAATCTTTAAATATACTAAAATTAACTGAATTGTACACTTTAAATGGGTGAATTTTATGGTATGTACATTATACGTCAGTAAAGCTGTTAAATAGTAACTAGTCAAAAAAACCCTCTCTTTTCATTTTTTTTTCCTCTTCAAAAGCTAGCACATTTAAACTATTAGAACTTCTATTTCTTTCTTTTCTGGAAGTTTCTATATTTTCTTATATTTCTGTAAACCTCATTAGCTCCGATAAACCAATCAAAACAAACTTCCTTAAATTTAAGAGCTGTTTCACTTACTAATTAGCACACTGTGAAGGTGGGAAAATATTTCAGACTCAAAGAGATACACTGGAAACTTTCAGCTTCGGTTCTACAACCTCAGCCATGTGGCAAAGTATATCAAGAAACACAAAAACCCACTGGCCCCTGTCTCAGTGGGCTGTTCTTTCAGTGCGTTCCGACTTCTGCTTTTCTCAACATTTTCCTAATTGATCTGAGCTCACAAATAAGCAAGCAAACTATTAAAAAAAGACTAACATCCGATTCTCTCTCATCTCCCGCTGGATAGAGAACAGATCCCGACTGCCTGATAGAAATCAACAAACAGACTATAAAACCAATTGTCAATCACTGCTGCCAGCAGTGGGAAATAGCTTGGCCAAAAACTAAAACCAAAACTCTGAGTCAGAAAACAGAGGGAAGGAGACAGAGAGGAGGAGGAAGAGAGGGAGAAGGAGAGAAGGAAGAAGAGAGAGGAAGGAGAGACGGAGGGACAGAGGGAAGGAAAGGCAGGAAAGAGGGAATGAGAGGGAAGGGGAGATGGGGAGAGGGGGCAGAGAGAGAGAGATGGAGAGAGACATAGAATGGGGGGAGAAACATAGTCAGTGAAGGTAAAGTTTTATTGATGCTTGAAATTCACACCAGGGACCAGAAAAATGTATGCCTTAAAATCCATGAGATCCCCCCTTCACAGACAACAGTTTGACTGTGGCAGATAAGTCCACTGAGCATCACACTTGGGATGTCTGCCAAAACTCGAAAAGCATAATGTTCGAGAAGTTAGACATGACTCTCAGCCTTTCTACAAAATACCTGACCAGTACTGCTCAAAACTGTCAAATACATCAAAAACAAAGGGACTGCTTTGGAAACAACCTCATAGGTTCCAACACCCTTCACAGTAAATAAACAAACTGTGGTACATTCATCCAATGGAATGCTATCCGTCAACGAAAAGGGACCAACTGCCTGCTGGCACATAATATGAGTATATTAAAAAGGCATTATGCTAAAAGAATGCAGATTCCACAGGCTATATATTCTATGATTCCATTTATATGACAGTCTGGGTATGGCAAAATTATAGAGTAGAAAAACATCTCAGTGACTGCCAGGTGCTAGGAGCCAGAAGAGACAGAGTATAAAATGCTCATGAGGGAACTTTGGCGGGGAAGGGGCGGGGGGATGGAGCTGTTCTATAGTTCGATTGTGGTGGTAATTGTATGACAGTAGATGTTTGCTAAAACTCATTTTTTAAAAAGGGTGAATTTTCACTGTATTAAAATGAAACAAGGACTTAATATTTAAAATATTACAAGAAGTTTGAGACTTTAATGGGCAACGAGCAAAGTATATAGAGGAGATTCACAAAAAGGGAAATGTCAACTATCTAACAAGTACAATATAGCAACCTCTGGTGCTCAGAGAGCAGATTAGAAACGAGAACACTTGAAACTTGTCAGATTGTCAGACATTAGAGAGATGGATAACACCAAACACTGGCAAAAACGGAGAGGAAGGGGAACCTTCACACACGGGGTGATGGGGGACAGATGCCAACACCTATGGCACAGGCCTCCACTGGAGACATAACCCCGAGCAGCTGTGCACAGGTCCCGAAGGGGCAGGACAACATGTTTACTGCGGTGGCACTGACGGTCGCAGGGCGCTGGAGGGAACCTAAGAGGTTGTCGTGAAGAGAATAAATAAGTGAACTGTGATGGATGCACGCTGTGGAATCCCATGCAGCACTGTGATGCAGTGAACTAAACGCTCACCGTGGCTCAATGTTAAAAACGTGTGTGTGGAGGAGGAGGAAACAGAATGAGAGCTATCGCCGACTTAAATGTAATTTTTAAACAAGCACAGGATTTTAAAAGCAGCATAGGATCGGTCAAGGGAATGTTTATAAATTATCTGAGGACCCAAAGAAAACATTTTAGAGGGGATTCGTAGGGGGCGGGGGACTGGACGTGGGGACTGGAAACACATGGATG